GGCCTCATCGCTTGACGCTCTCACAAACCACAAGAACTTGTGCTTGCTTAATTCCAAACCATGTGCCAGCTCGTTCGTTTGCTCTAGTGAGAGTGTTCCACCACTCCAAAACACATACAAAACTGAACCATCTTGTTGCTTTTCCAACCATGTCAGACACTCCAACCCTTTTGTACAACCAGTTGTAGCTGTCCCAATTTGAACAATTGGTCTAACAGGATACAAAGGAGGGTAACCCCTTTCCTCATCTTTGAATGCTCTCATCAGACCTGTTTCCAGTAAAAAACAAAATCAGAAATAGTTTGCAATTGACCATTGTGTTTCGATCCTATGCTTGAGCATAAAGATCCCTGCCATGAAAGGGACACGCCCTAGTATTGCGATGGGGTGGGGCAGATCCTTGTGGAGCATGGGGAAGTAGAAGTGCGTGCAGAGAGTGGTTACAGAGAACCCAAATCACCAAAAATCACTAACCTCATGCGAGTACAGACAACCCAAAAATCCCCAATCGAAACCCTTCGCCGCGGCGGAGACGGGGAGGCAAGCGAAGAGTAGGCGCTCGAGGGCAACGGCGATGGAAGGGTTTTCGAGCAGGAGCCACTTGAACTTGAGAGATGACCAGCCGCCGAGGAGAAAGGTGGTATGGGCGCAGAGGAAAGAGGTAATGGCAGCCACGGTGACGGAGGAGTTGAAGGCGGCGAGGAGGGAAGAGGAGGCGGAGAGGAAGAAGGCGAGCTGGGCGAAGATAAGGGAGAACCACACGACAAAGAAGGCGGCGGGCTTGAGGCTGAGGGCGTCGAGGATGGCGACGACGGGGGTGCCACCAAGGTCGACGAGAAATAAAGCGGATGGAATTAGTGTGATGGCGATCCGGTAGTTGTAAGCGAATGATGAGGGGGTTTTGAGGGATCTGGAGGAGGCGGAGGTGGAGGAGACGCCATTGTCGTGGACGTGACGCGACGGCGAAGGGTGGGAGTCGTTAGGGTTTTGGGAGGAGGAGAATAAGGGGGCGCTATTGGATGAGGACAGGGTTATGTGAGGGCGAAATGCGCGAGGACAGGGTTATGGAAAGATAGGGTATATTGCCTCGGATGGGGTTTGAACCAAGGTCATATTATCTATATGCCTTGGTTCCCCTTAAACCGGGTCAGAAAAGTTAACCCAAACTACGAAAATGCCACCGCTTTCGTATAGATTTTGGTTCTGCCTCAATCGAAGCCTATTGTACGATTTCAAATCCATTTTTTTTACTAGTGATTGTAAATTATAACAATTTCAGTGTTGGTATTGTTCGTAACCTTTTCACAGTATTTGCTTTGTATGTAATATAAAATATGCTGAATGTTGACGAAAGTGGATCACGATGGAGAAAATATAGAGAAGTGTTTGATATTTTGAAAGAAAGATAAAAGAAGATACCAAGACATAAATGAGAGATGAGATGAGAGAATGAAAGTCTAGAAGCGACCCAAGTAAGAATCTGCTATGCAAGCTCCAAGAATTGGCGTTATCCACACAGATCCTGACCAGTTTCACACATAGTTTCACATTCCTCACTGATGAAACTATGTCTTCATGAAGTTGGCTTGTAACGTAATTCACCAACTTTGAAGCCACTCCCTAAAAGGTGATGGCAATGCTCTAGCTAGGACAAGCCAAATCTAGAAGCAAATCAAGCCATAAGTTCATGGATTAAGATTTCATAATTTGGTGGTGGTGAAAGGTGTTGATAGCTCATGGTTTTGGTGAGTTGTAGGGTGATGGAAGATGTGTTTAAGGGTTCTCTAAGAGAGGTTAGGCCAACTCTTGGAGGAAGGTGGCTAGAGGAGACCACTTGGGTTGCTCTAGCCTAGGGTGACCTTAAAAGAATAGTATGGCACAAAAATTGCAGCATAACTTTACTCTAAATCAAAGGTGATTACATGATGGAGAGCCCCTCTATTTATAGGCTAAGGTGTCTCAAAAATGGGCTAAAACTTTAACATAAAAGAGCAACATTGGTTAGCTTGGAGAGCAAGGAGAAATCCTCTCCAATAAGAGAGAGACAAGTGGCAAAAATTCTCTCAAATGAGAGAGTGACATGTGGCCACTACCTATGAAAAAAATCTTCATTCCTAGAGTGACACATGGCCACTAACTAGGACGAAAACTCTCCAATGGGAAGCCTCCACATCTCTAGGACGAAATCTTGCTCCCTTGTCCTCCAAGCTTAACCAAAATGTTGACCCCTTGGTCAACACACCCTTTTTGGACATTCAAGCATAGTCAACTTTGGGCATTGGCCCTTTGTTGACTTGTTTGGTCAAAATCCTATTCTACTTGGCCTAAAATACAAGGCTCAATTGAAATCCTACACTACTAGGCCCATAATACAAAGCCCAAATAAAATCTAGACTACTTGGTCCAAAATACAAAGCCCAAATAAAATCTAGACTACTTGGTCTAAAATATAAGGCCCAAAATTATTCTTACTCTAATAAATCTTCATGATGACTTAAGATGGCCCAAGAGAAAGAGTCTAAGCCCATCTTCCATAGATGCCTCCAACACTTCATGAATGTGTTAGGTCATGGCAAGGGGTATGCCATCATCGCCATCCTTTCAAATGTTTCATACCCTGAATCAAACACCACTAAATCAGAATAACCATACCATATCATCATTGAATGCTATATGTAAGTATATATATATATAGAAACAATGTATATATGCTACCTGGATAACAACCTATATCTGCATAATACAACCAATATGAAAAAGAATTAAGAAATTGATTCTGACCAACACGAAAAGCACAAGCCTTCCATTTGCCGGTTTTAGATGAAAGTGCATGGTGACCACGGAAAACAACAGTAGCATCTTGGGTATAATCTGCATTGGCCAAGGATTTATCTCTCCACCAAATTGAGATGCTGTAAACTCTTCCTCTGCTTGTACATAAGCTTCATTGAATGTATAACCAAGGCCCTCATCGAAAGTAGGAAGTGGAGTATACTAAATAGTTATTGGTTAAGCATACTAAATAGCCTATATATAGTGGTGCAATGGTGCATTTAAATCATATAATGAGGATCTAATGAGAACTTGATTTTTTTTTCAATTTGTGATTTGAATATGACAATAGAAATATGAGAATTTTGTTACAGTTTCCTATGACTTATTTCTAATCCCCTTGAAGAAATCTTTTCAAGGAAACCAATGACTAAAAGAAAAAAAAATAGTGGAGAGGATTTAAAGGCTTGTGCGGGAAGTCCCACATCGACTAGAAATAAAGCTAATTTATAAGTGGGTGCAAATCTCACCTTAAGGCTTTGTTCACTTGAATGGATTTGGGGGAGAGTGATTGAATGAATTTAAGAGGATTTGAAGGTAAATTTTTTGTTGTTTATTTGAGTGGATTTGGAGGTAAGTGAGAGTGGATTTGGAAGTAAAGTTTGTGAGAATTAGTATAGGATTTGATTGATGTGACATATTAAAAAAATTTAGTTCCAAATCTACTCTCACTTACCTCCAAATTCACTCAAATAAACAAAGCCTAAAAGTCGGTTTTGTGAGACTGAGTTAGGCTTAAAGTCAATTTCTTAACATGGTACCATACCCATGTTAGAGCTTATCCTAGTGAGATTTGTGTGGACATATTGTTCCACCCGCTATCAGACCACTATCGTATCACCCATTAATGTCTAGTCTCACGCTCGTGATATATATACCTTGGCGTAAGAGGGGTATGTTGGAAGACCATAAGTGGGTGCAGACCTCACCTTACAAGTTGGTTTTGTGGGGTAGAGCTAAACTAAAAGTCCACTAGCCGCCGCTGTTAGAGTCATCGTCGCCGACGTTAGATTCGTTGTTCAAGGTTTAGGGTTTATTTAGATTTTATTTTTAAAATATTTGTAGATAAGTGGAAATATCAATAGATTGAAGAATATTCCAAGGATTATCATTTACAATTCATTCAATTATATTTTTTAGATCCAGTCAGTTTTATCCAATTTGTCCAGTGAGCAAGACCAAGTCACCCAACAACAAGGTCAAGTCGTCCAACGACTCTAAGTCACTTAACAAACCGTGCATTGCAAAAATCATTAAATAGAATGTGTAACGTATCTAAAAATAATATTTTGAGGAATAAGAAACTAACTTTAAAGGAGAGACAACATAGTCACATTCTGGAGGCAGGAGACACTTATCATCATTATTTTCATCATCTATCATTTTTCTAGTACTGAGAATGTTTAGAAGTAATTAACTCCCTTATTCATTAGGGTTAGATGTAATATATCTCCACTCTTTGTGATTTATGTTATTTAATATACTTCTTTTTCATTACTATTGTGTTTTACTCTTATTCTTAATTGCATGATTATTGATTGTTTATATTATAATATGCAATTATGGAAAATAATGTAAAACCTTGATTGAAACTAATAGAGTTTACCTTTAAACATAGAGTTTAATCAAGTAATCATTATAAACATCTAAATTTAATTCAAATTTTAAATAAAAACATTTAAGGAATTGGACTTTTATTAGTAAAATTTAAATTTGTCTCTAAAGAACTAGAATTTGTTAGCTTGCTATATACATACTAGAGTAAAAATTAAAAACATATTATTTAACATTTTTACATCGAATTGATATATGAAACACAATCTGAGTAAAATGTCCATCACATATTTAACTTCATAAATCTAAATTTTTTTTTAGAATGTAAAATTATCTCATTAAAAGTTAATTCTTTTCATTATTTCAAATATCTTAATCTTATCCAATAGATAATCATAATTTCATTATACAAACACGGAATCTCTTGACAAAAATGTTTTTCACTTCATTATTTGTATAATTTAGTATACTTCCTAATATCTTATCAATTTCTCAGAAAATATAACTTGAAATTTTCTTAGAACACCTAACGTTATAAAAAAACCAACCATGTGAAAGAGTTTACTGACTTTTAGTTCTGCGATATTGAAAAGACTGAGAATAGTTCTTTACTGATCAAGACAGATGCAATAATGTACGGTGAAATATTAAATGCAAGTATGGACACTGATGATGGCCCACTCAACAAATTCATAGGAATAAAATCAAATGGAGGTTTAAAAGAAGATTTTTGTAGCCTTGCAATGGAGCTAATGTCTGGAGCAAGAAAAAATAATGGAATGGAAAAAGTTAGATTGCTGCATGAAGATATCTCCTCTCATACAAACCAATTATTTGATCAGCCACAGCCCACATAATGGCCTGTCCAGGGGGGATCCTCATGAGTCGAGGCAGCAGACCTTTCCATAAGGCAAGAAGTCCTTCTTCGGCATATATTGTTCTAATGGCATGCACCATACCCTTGTATTTCAGTTCACCCCCTTCTCTGCTCTGAGCCATCAACCTTGTTTTCACCACATCAAATGGACCAGTACAGATAGGACCTGCTGTGCCTGCAAGGAATCCAGAAATCATAGATTGCCATGGTTGGAGGACTTTCCCATCCCCTTCATGCTTCTTCCACAAAAGCACATCAAAAGCATTTTTGGCAGTAAACATGGCAGATTGGTTTGTCCCATTACGCATCACAGTAGGAGCAACACCTGCCCAAAGACCCCGAAATCCTTCTTCTCTGATAATCATTCGAGCACAGTGAATAGGACCTTTGTATTTCAAAAGCTCAGGGCTTAGACCTTTCTGCTGCTGCAATCTTATCTTCACAACCTGCAATAAGACATACAAACATGAACCTCTCCGATGACAAAACCAAACTATGCGCAGATGTTTGCTATGATAGGTATGTTATATGCTGAAAAGTCATACTATTAGGCTAATACTATAGTAATAACAAAAAAGAATCATCCACTGTTGCAATCAATTTAGGCAACTAGAAACTAAGCAGCATCTGAACTAGATAAACATTAAGACAAATTTGGCAGTAAAAATATAATCTGACAAGACTAGTTAAAGTAATTACAATATTTTATTTTATTTAATTTTTATGGATAAAGGTTTAGGAGAGAGGTTGCCTTAATGCAAGGTCAGCAGGCTATGCTTTAAGGCCTTAAAATGATGCGTACAAATGATCTGCCAACGAGAGAGTTCACTAACTGTAATCAAATCTAAGACCTTGTCCTCAGTGCTATTGGTCCTACCAATTGAATCAACTCTTGTAAGGTGAGGATTAATTAACTGTGACCTTCTCCTGCCAGATGAAATTTTATTAATTCAAAACTTACCATGCACTAGAAAAATCTAACATAATTAATGAACAAAGTTTCCTTCTAGTTCTGACCCCATTCAAAGAAGGGAAATTGTTCTTTCTCCTTGTATGATCTGGTATCCATAAACAAAAGTGAACATTTTTTCATTTGATTGACCAATGAAATGCTTTATAATTCAAAAGTCTGTTAATTACATAGGTAAATCATACTAATCCGAATAGACTGAAAATCTTATATGTTCATTCTCGTTAAAGTTTTCTTGATTCTGTTGTAATAAAGAAATGTTAGCTATCTAAATTTGTAAAATACTTTTATACGATTCTATCTCTCCTAGTTTGTGGCAGAGATATAGTTGAGTTTCAATTCTAAAAGACCAACTTGTTAGGTGAGAATTATTAACCCATCTGTATTTTGGCACTGCCTGTTGTGGGACTTCGGTTTTCCCAGTACAGTCCTTACTATTGGACTTGGTACACGGATAAAAGGGTAAGTAAATTTGGTTTAAGTCTAACTCAATCCTTAAAAATGGAAAAAACTTCTAAGGTGATAATTCTCCTCTTATAAACTTTTTTTTTCTCAAGAACTTATTTTAGTGACATCCAGAGTAAATTAAGTGAGGAAGAAGAGAATAACAAGATTATATAACTCAGTTACCATGATGAAGCGGACACAATAGATTAGTAACATTTCCTAAGCTTTTGGAGCCAGTATGAAACACATTTCCTCTCAATGGAAAAGATCCAGACACAGACAACACCATATATGGAACAACTTAGGATGTTAGATATTTTAGCACAGATTATTTGGCTAGTCAATAGTGCCGATTAACTGTGACCATTCTTCAAAAAACACCTTGGCACTTGAAAAAGACTAGATCAGCAAATGCTTGCTACAAAACAAAGGTCATGATATTGTTTTTACTTTCAGGATAGATACAACAACAGAGAATCTTGTTGAACTGGAGTAAGCAAGATCATCAAGCTTTTTAATGCTTGACTGGAAGCAGCAGATGGGGAACGATTGAAACAAACTCAAATGGGTGAAGGAAAAAACAAAAGCTTGAAAATCAAGAAAGAATAGAGCAAAAAAATGAAATAAAATAAAAATAAAGTTAGTGCCACACTTGTCAAAATCAAGAACATTGTAATAATCAAATGGTGAAAACAAATGGCAGAGTAAAGTTGGTTCCACAACATTAGACAATCTGCTCCCCATTAAAGGTAGAGAAATCACTCATCCTTAATCCTTTATGGAGAGATGATCTTTATAAAGAGCCAAGTACAATGGCTAAACTCTAACTAACCTAACAAAAAGCACAATTGTCAGATAGGAACAGCTAACTAACTACAGATAAATGAGAGATTGATAGGAGCAGTAGGCACGATAAGAAACCACAGGAGAGTCCGGTAGCAGCAGCATGAGAGAGGGCAGCAAATGACGAGTGAGAGGCCCAAGAGATCCAACATTAAGCGTAAGCAGTGGACTGAATATTTTTTATTGAATGAATTAAATAATTAATGACTGAGATGGTTCTAGATGAGGTTTATTATGATGCTGTTAGAAGGGAGGATCTTTGGTATCATAGGATTTGTTAGAAAGTGAAGTTCAATTTTTGTATGGGTATGCATTGCCATTATTCAGTACTGAATGAGAATTCAATTCAATTTCCTTTCTTCTATTCCCTGCTTTGGAGATCTTCTCTATCCTCCAAATCAGATAATATTACCATTCCTATCATGTGCTATTTTTATAAACTCACTCAAACACTCAACACGAGGAATTATGTCATGTTATAAAATAAGTCCAAATAAGTTGTAATAAACTCTTCCAAAAGTCCCATCATGATTAGGTGCTCGTGGTTTCAGTTATATATCATAAGCAATGAGAAGTGATTGAATATCAAATGAAAAAAAAAAAACAAAAGAATACTTCAGCTTAAAAAAATCTTAGAATGATCAAAATGCTTACCTAACAGCACTAACAGTGAGTCAACAAATTCAGCAACAAAGATGTCAATCAAACCATTAATAATCAAGCATAGCTTACCACTATGTATATAAGAGATAAAAGAAATAAATATTATAAACTTATATAATTAGTACAACTAGAAAGAAGAAACCCAAACCAAAAATTTACAGTGAACTAATAAACAGACAAAGTTTAGATTGAAAGGTAACATTGATGACAAATTGTAAATTTAGATCCAAACAACAAAATATTATTCCTTATTGAATGCAAAGAATGACACCAAATTACTTAAGAATAAAGCAGGGTCATGGCATGCATTTTACCTCATTTGTTTCCCTTGACTATTAAGTTTAGCTGGAATGTAACATAAGAACAGTCTACAGGAACTGAGTAATTACTGATTGCATATTAAACAAAATAAAAGACTCTGACCTCAAATGGTGTGACAATAACAATAGCCTCAAGCACTCCAGCACCAAAACCAGAAAGGAACCGCCCATGACCACTGAGCTTACCAGTCTCAGGGTCCTTAAACGCTGATTGAAATACGGCATTTGAACCCATTCGAAGTGCATACTTCAAGGTCAAATGTGTGGCAAAAGGCGTCAATCCTTTCCACAAAGCCCGCACGCCTTCTGTTCGTGAAATTGTGGCACCACAGTGCAATATTCCCTTGTAGTTCCCAGACCTATCAAGCTGCAATCTGGTCTTGATCACATCAATGGGTTGCAGGCAAGAAGCCTCCACAATTCCTCCAAGTGAGCCAGATATTGCCTTCATGTAGGGTGGGATTGATTTCTTTGTATGCAAGTTGCTGTTATCTTGTGCATCATCCCTTTTCATGATTGACGGATTGTTCACCTATAACCTTCAGCAAGCTCAATTTTGCTTCACCAAAAAGCCCATAACCACACTGGATTTGTTTGTTTCTAGGTCAATTTTCCGTGTTGATGATGCCTTCTCCCATTACTCCCTTATTGTGTTATTGATTCTCTACACCCTTTGTCATCTCACTGCTCCTGTTTCATTTCCTTTCGACCAATCTTAAGGCCGGCACAACTTACCAAATGAGCGTTGGATCTTATTTGGGATTTAGCTTCCTTTTTACTCTCTTTTTTTAATATGCCAATTTATTTCTGTACCTCCATATTTTTAACCTCCACCTCATAAATTTCAAATTTCAAATCTATCTTCTTTAGCATTTTTAATTTTAGTTTTGGGTTTTTTAAGTTGGAGATGTTTCTAAATATATAATTTAAACTACAAATTTACATTTTAAATTGTATATTTTAAAATATAAATTTATATTATATATATTTTTTTAGAATATGTAATCTAAAATACAAATTTATATTTGAACTATATATTTTAAGATATAAAATAGAAAATACATTTTAAATTATATAAATTATTTATATTTTAAAATGAATAATTTAGAATATTTTTATTTTAAATTATACATTTTAAAAGACAAATTTTATATTTTATTATATATTTCAAAACAATTATTTTGTATTTTAAAATGTACATCTGAAAATGTAAATTTCATATTTCTACATTTCAAAATAAAAAAATTAAAAATACATTCTTATTATAACGTTTAAAATGTATTTTTTAATAATATTAATAAAAACCAAAACAATTACAAAATCTGGTCTCTTTGGTCCACATGATAAGACAATGTGTATTTAAAGCAATTCCTAACAGTGGTAAAGTGTTTTTGAATGAAAATAAAAATTGAAAAATTAAAGGAGAAACAAGAGAGAAGGGTAAGAACAATGTAAGAAGAAGATGGAGAGAAAAAAATAAGAGCAAATATTGAGGAATGTTTCTTCCTGGGCCTGCAACACTTTCATCCTCCACCTCCAATTTTTTCAAGAGTGTTTCATCCTGTAACTCCAAGTGTTTCATCTTGTACTTCCAAATTTTTTTAAAATACCTACATTATCCATCATTAATACCCATAATTAAGAGGATTTAATATTTTAAAAGAAAAAATTAAAAGTGGTCAAAGATTCTGGCAGAGATATTATTTCCACTTTTTCTCTCTCTCATCTCATTCTCAATCTTCCATTTCATTTATCCATACTGCCACACAACACCAGGACTCTCTCCTTTGCGTTTCCTCTTTCCAATAGCACCCAGCACATTGCGTTTCATCTTTCCAGTATCCCGATCTAACATCATCATCAATTGTTGCAGCTCAGTTCTCGACCCTCTCAATGAGTGTTTATATGTATATCTTACTGTGTAAACTTGTTTTATTGTAGTTACATTATGCTCATTATTGTGTTTCAGAGTCAACAAAATATTTGCTGGTGTTACTTGGGTTTTAGTCATATCAACAAGTACTGCTTGTTCAGTAAGATTTAACCTATCAGTATAAGAATGCTCCACTAAAAGGTGCATAGTTAAAGAAATGTAAGATTACTTTAAATAGAAAGAGAAAAAGTAAAAAAAAGGTATTTACTAAGATTAAAAATAAATTTTTGAAAATGTTGGAGGTGCATGAGGTGTTGGAGGTATAGATGCAACACCCAATGTTGAGATGTATGGAAGGTGGGAAGAAACAGCTCTTATTATGCAAAGTATAATATATCATACAATTAACTTAAATAATCTTAAAAGGTTAATAATATTAGAAAAGTATAAACAAATTAACTAAATATATAATATGATAAAATAATAATAATAATAATGATAATATTATTCTTAGTCCAATTTTAAAATAATAATAAATTTGCCTAAAGGAAAACAAATTTTAATGTAGTTTATTTAAATATTTTGTTTCTCCATAATAATGAGAAAACAAATCATTATTTATCAAAAGAGAATTAAATCCTAATCCTAAATGTACATAAAATAGGATGGAGTTTATGGCATTTTTTTAATACTTGTTTAAAACGTTAAATTTCTAAAAGGATGTTTATTTAATTTGATGGGTGCATCTAAAATAACTTAGTAATGGAAATGCAGTATATAAGAGAATTCAACTTAAACAGATTAAAATAATTCAGATATTACAAAAATAGCTCGGTTTTATTTATCCATATTTACAATTTGGTTTTATTTACATTTAATTTAGTGTGGTTCACATTTCAATAAAGTTTTTTTTTATGATTATTGTATTGATAAGTGAGTATTTTTTTTTTACCAAGTTTCTTCCATTCATAATATCATTCATTTATATATAACAATATATAATTCTATTATAAATAGTTTCATTGATAATTAAATAGTATTATCTAATAAACATAGTAAAAGAAAAAAAAGAGAGACTAAAATGTAGCATTTAGTTGCTTGGTTGTATTAATGGTTGGGGTGTGTACTTCTTGGTGGTGTGCTTGTTGCATTGGTATTGGTAGTGGGAGATTGTTGTGAGGTTAGCGGTTTATTTTTGGTTTAATTTGTTTCACGTGTATGTTAGCAATATTTTAAATATTATAACATTTTTAATTTCTATTTTTAAGGAACATAAAATGATTCATTAAGTAATTATTTTTATCTTTTTAATTGTATAGGGTTATAGAGTAGTTACTAATTTTGTTTAAACTTAAAGTTCATTTATTTTTTAAATATTTTAAATATTATAACATTTTCAGTTTCTATTTTTAAGTAACATAAAATGGTTCATTAAGTCATTATTTTTATCTTTTTAATTGTATAGGGTTATAGAGTAGTTAATGAGTTACTCTCAGTTTTGATCACTAAGCCTACTCCTCTATTCAGTAAACATACCATCGAGTTTGAGTGAGTATTTGTGTTTGGATTACAAAAGTTTTGTAGGATTTCCCTCGTCTTGGGATTAACATGTTGATGAGCGACTATTTTTTTTGTGCATGTGCTTCTTCACCAGTTTCTGCAGCGACTCGTCGTTGTTTGGATCCTTTCAGCTTTGGTCATTTTTGTACTGTGTTATTGCTTGGTGAAGGGAATGAAGAAGGGTTTTTTTCTATTCAAATTTTTCGTGGTGGAGAATTGGATCTTTAAAGTTTGCATCTTTATTAACTAATAAAGATAGAGAAAAGGGTTTCTGCGCGCCTTGCAGCTTTGTTATTGAACCCTATTCCCTTTTTTCTTGGTTTTTGCGCGATGCAAAATTAATAAAGAAAGTGAGGGTTACTCCTCTCTGCCGCGCACTGGAGAATTCAGCCATTCTCTAAATTCATTCGCTCACACCAAATTGTTTTGATTATTTTATAGGTCATTTTAATGACCTGATGGAGCTTTATTTCCACGCTGCACTGGTGCTTTTTATGTTTAATTATATTTAATTATTATTATTATTATTTTAACATATAATATAGAATACGTAACCTATCATGTTTTATAATATATATGTTTAAATGTTTTTGGATTAATAATTATGTATATTTTGTGGATATTATTTGTATGTATATATTTGTTGTTATACATGCAAATAGAATATGCATTATTATTAGTATATTTACATATTAAGAATTTTATGTAAATATTTATATATTATTAATGTTTTAGTAGTAATATAGTTTTAATAAATTAAAGAGTAGTCACAGTATCTTTAATCAATTAAAATTGTATATAAAGTTTTGTTATATGAGAAACATTAATTGTAAATAATTGTATCTAATATGATAAAATCTACGCAGAAATTTTTGTCATATTTTATATGATTAATTAGGATAAAATATTAAATTATATTTCTTAATTTACCCACAGAAATTAAGAAAAAAGAACATAATTTGATAGTTTTATCATTAAGATAATGAGTCTAATTGAGTAAGACTTTAGTCCACTGGTAAATTTTATGTTAATAAACTCATTGTTAAAGACATGTTTGCATTGGTAAAACATGACATTTATTTTAGTCTCAAATTGTATAATAAGCATGTATTTTTGAATTTGCAGTTTCTCAATTTGTGAATTTTTCTTATATCAAGTGTGGTATTCCTGAGTTGAAAGGTGATAATTATAAGGTTTGGAAGGAAAAGTTCTTCTTCATTTAGACTACATGGACATTGACTATGCTATTGGAAAACCAGAACCACCGAGTATTACTGAGACTAGCATTCAGATGCCATTGATCTTTATGAAAAATGGGAGAGGTCAAATCGTCTCTTCGTAACGTTCATAAAAACCAACATTTTTGCTGGGATTCGGGGTTCAGTTGACCATTATGAGAATGTCAAAGATTTACTAAGGGCTATTGATGAACAATTTACGACACCTGATAAATCTCTTGCCAGTATCCTTATAATGCAGTTTTCATCTTTAAAGCTCACTGGAACTAAGGGAGTACGTGATCATATCATGCGCATAAGGGATATTGTGGCTCAATTAAAATCTTTGGAAGTTACCATGTCTGATTCTTTCCTAGTACACCATATTTTGTGCACTTTGCCTCACCATTATGCCCCCTTTAAAATCTCTTACAACACACAAAAGGATAAGAGGTCTATTAATGAATTATTGACCATGTGTGTTAAAGAAGAAGAAAGACTATTGATAGAAGAAGGGGAGAAGGTGAACTTAACCACTTCATTTAAGAATAAGAAGAACCAAGTTAATAAGAAGGGAAAGATTCCTGCTAAGCTAGTTATTAAGAAGGAGTCCAGATGTTTCTTTTGTAAAAGGAAAGGACACATGAAGAAAGACTTCTTAAAATTTAAGAATTGACTTGACAAGAAAGGTACTCCATTTGTTTTTGTCTGTTATGAATCTAATTTGACTAGTTTTAATCATAACACATGGTGGATTGATTCTGGTTCCACAATCCATGTTTCTAATACCTTGTAAGGTATGCAAAACCTAAGGAGGCCAGTGGGAAGTGAGCAATATATCTACTCAGGGAGTAAGATGAGTTCACATGTAGAGGCCATTGGAACGTGCAGCTTAGTTTTAAGTAGTGGTTTTGTTTTGCATTTGGAAAAGACATTTTATGTTCCTTGTTTTTCTAAAAATTTAATTTATGTTTCAAGACTTATACCTTTGGGTTTTTCTTTTAATTTTTCAGATTCTGGTTTTACCTTAATAAATAAATCTAAAGTTGTTNTATCATGTTTTATAATATATATGTTTAAATGTTTTTGGATTAATAATTAT